GACTCATAATCTTTTGAAATATCTATATTTTAATACTTAATTTGAGCTGGCGTCGCGGCTCAATAGGCTAATCCTCCACCTGTGGCGCCAGCACCCTGGGTTCTAGTCCCGGTCGGGGCTCTGGATTTGTCCCGGTTGCTTCTCTTCCAGTCCAGCTCTCTGCTGTAGCCCAGGAGTGCAGTGGAGGATGGTCCAAGTCCTTGGGCCCTGCACCCACATGGGAGACCAGGAGAAGCACCTTGCTCCTGGCTTCAGATCAGCACAGTGTGCCGGCCACAGCGGCCATTGTTGGGTGAACCAATGGAAAAGGAAGACCTTTCTCTCTGTCTCTCTATTTCTCACTGTCCACTCTGCCTGTCAAAAAAAATTACTTAATTTGAATATGTTTCAGATGATGATATGAAATGAGAAATCTAACTTTTTCTGTGAATGCTTAACTAGCTGACCCAACACACTTGCTAACCATTCCAACTTTACCACATTGCTCTGAGATTGCTCCTTACACACTGGTACCTACATATTTACACACTGAATGTGGGCAAAAACAATTTAAGTTCTCTGTTCTGTTGTACATTTCTGTATGTTCTTACAAAACCCCATATTCTTTTAATTACTGAAACTTAAAATAGGTTTTAATGTCTGGCAGAGCAAGGCCCTCTCTTTTTTCAAAATCAAGGTCCCTATTTTAGCACCTTTCCTTTCCAGGCAAACTACTGTAAAGTTCCCCAAATATTTTGTTATTATTGTGATTGGCACTGTGCTAAATTTATTCATTAATCGACATCTTTACAATATTAAATCTTCCCACCTCTCCTTCAGCTGGAAGTATTTTGTCCTTCCTCTGAACTCCCTCAGCACTTTATACCTTTTAAAAAATCACTTTCTAAACTATACCCACCCAATTTTTCAACCCTGAAACCTGAGCGTTGTCCCCTTCCCTCCCCTCCCAACCCTCACCCCATCCAATCAATCATCAAGTCCCGTCAATGCTGCCTCCTAAATTTCATCCACTTCTGCCTGTCCCTGCTGCCGGCACTGTGGACCAAGCTGCCATCATTTCTGGTCTGGGCCACCACACTGGCCTCCAATTGACCTGCCTGTATCCACCCTGGCTTCCAAGCCGATTGCTTCAATGCAGCCAGAGCAACATCTTAAAAGATGAATCTGATCAGGACAATATTCCTGCAGCTCCCCATGACACTTGGAGAGGAGCTGAAAAAAAAAATGCCTTAGTGAGACTTGGCCCCTGCCCTCCCTTCCAGCTTGATCCCAACCTCTATTTAATCCATTCTTTCACCTTGCCTGTTGTAGTCATCAAATACATCCCATGCTGTTTCTTACCCAGGGTCTTTGCACACAGTTTCCCCTATTAGGATTGTTTAAGGTATCCCCTATTATCTTAGTTTAATAAGACTCAATTCCCTGGACATATATTCCCAGCGTCCTATATAGCTCCATTTTAGTGCTCATTACATGCTCAATTCCTTCTTTAAGTCAGTCTCCATGGTAATAATAAAAGTAATATTAATAATAAACACTTTTTGAATAATAAGAAGTAGATCATTCTCTACCCATGCTCTATCTGGCTTTACTAGTTTATAAGAGCAGGTGGTTCAAGTGTTAGGAATTTTGTGACCTTGCTGATGTCACAAAATTGCTTGAACTCTTAGCCGGCACCGCGGCTCACTAGGCTAATCCTCTGCCTTGCGGTGCTGGCACACCGGGTTCTAGTCCGGTCGGGGCGCCGGATTCTGTCCCGGTTGCCCCTCTTCCAGGCCAGCTCTCTGCTGTGGCCAGGGAGTGCAGTGGAGGATGGCCCAAGTACTTGGGCCCTGCACCCCATGGGAGACCAGGATAAGTACCTGGCTCCTGCCATCGGATCAGCGCGCTGCGCTGGCCGCAGTGCGCCGGCCACGGCGGCCATTGGAGGGTGAACCAACGGCAAAGGAAGACCTTTCTCTCTGTCTCTCTCTCTCTCTCTCACTGTCCACTCTGCCTGTCAAAAGAAAAAAAAATTGCTTGAACTCAGCCATGCTGAGAATATTTGCACCACAAACAATCAGCAACTGCAACAAACCAATACTTTGATTTAATATCCCTTTGCCTGGAGAGCTTGTAGGTTGGTAGACTTTTCCCGTCCACCACTGCTCCCAAGCACTGTGTCACTTAGTCCTCACTTTACCTCTGTGAGGTAGGTACCCCATTCTATAAGAGGAAAAGAACAATTTAAGAGGCAAATCAAACTGTGAGTCCAGGCAATCTGACTCCAGAGCATAAGAAGTTCACTTTGACATCACCACTCTCTATTGACCAGGAGAGTTGGTGATTTGTCCCCGGTATCCCCAACACATGGCACAATGTTGAGTACAGTGTGCACACTTGGCGAATATATGCTCCACAGAAAAGTCAATAACGTCACAGCACACTGGGAACAACAATGACACAGCACATCAATAATGCCACAATTTGCCAATACTGACACGTAACCATGTTACACAATATCCACCGTTTCCACGGTTACGTAGGCTCCTCTTTTGCTAGGCACTGTTTCCAAGAAAAAATAGACCACAGAATCCTCCCATTCATCTCACCAATTACTACATTGCTTTCAAAATATCACTGTATTGTTACTCCTCTAGGAAATCTTCCCTGATTCCCCAAAGTTAGTCATTCCCTCTTCAGTACTCCTGCAACCTTTTCTGCCTTTACACATCTTATGGGACTTAACTAATCATTGTAATCAAGAAGTAGCTACCTCTTCTTCCAGAATGGTAAGCTGCTGCAGGCATATTGATACTACTGGTTTTGTATCTTGTGCATAATTTGTGGCGTATGTTTATTCAATGAATATATGGATTATATTGGTACCTCAGTCCTACTTTGCAAGATGTCAATCTAATTGGTGTAGGGTCTAATCTAGGCATTGGTGATTTAACATCTAGCCTGTGTGAGGACCTCTGCTTTCAAGGGAAGTGTACATACACATGTGCACACACACAGGCACTCAACACCTGGCTCTAAATGTCTAGAGCCCCACTGACTAGTGAGATCTTTCTTCACTTCTGTAGAGAGAAGAGAATTCTACTAGAGTCCTATTAGAGGTTCTAATAGGATTGCTATTATACCTACTATCTGCCAGAGACTGTTTCAGTACTTATTGTCTGTGTCCAGGGGGCATCTTTTAAACATCAGCAATGCTGGATGCCCTATAAAGGGAAAAATGTCCTGAAAAGAGACCCATTCTTCACTGACTTCAAGGTTAGCCTATGCTCCTGGTTTCCTCCCACCCTGACCATTCTCCCCGGCTGTCTTCACAGGTTGCTCCTTAGCATCCTGGGTCCTACATGTTGATGGCCCCAAGCCAGCATCCTTAGACTTCTTCCACCCTTAGCTACCCTCTCTTCCATGGCAAGCTCATCCAGCCCTGTAACCCTAAATCCTGTTGAGATGCTCACAGCTCCTTGGTTCAACAGCCTCAAGGTCTTCCCATAGGAACTCCTTGCTCACCTTCTCTCCGGCAACTCTCCTTCTACCTCACAGGTCCATCCCCACTTCGTAGTTTGTCATCACACTGTGTTCTGTCTCCAGGACAGCCCCTCAAATATTCATGGGCTTTCAGAGACTGTTCCAGTGACCACCAGTGAACCAAACAGAAAACAGCCCTGAGGAGCTCCCAGACAGAGGGAAGTCAGTGTGAATGGTGAGGAGATGAAGTTCAGAGAGATACAGAGGCAGGCATAGATCCCCATGGTTGCCCCCCCGAGGTCCCTTCCTCCCTGACCATCCTGAACAAAGCCTTTCCTCGTCCCCCACCCCCGTCTTTCACTCTCTGAAATTATATCATTTATTTTCTTTGGTGTCTGTCTCCCCTCTAGAAGGAAAGCTTTATTTACCTCTTTTGCTTCTACAACCCAGAGGCCAGAGTTGTGCCAACCCACGGTATGCATGCAATAAATACTACTTTGAAGGAATGGATGTGTCCCTTTGGGAGTTAGTAGTAACTTTTTTATTGTGACTGCAATAGAACCTTTCCTAGACTCACACATAGGAAAATAACACTTGAGGTGTGTTTACCACAGGAGACAACATTCAAAGGCAAAATTCTAAATAAATACAGCTAGAAATTAGTTTTCCATACATTCCTATATGATAACTAACCAGACACTTACACATCAACAAGAGAAGGAGGCTGAGTCCCTCCTGCGCCTAGGTCAGCTAGGTTAAGATCTAGTGTAAGTCCTCCAAAATGCATTGCCCTAGCTGTTGAGCCAGCTTTGCATCCTCCTTATGCAAGCTTATCTCACATTGTCACCTTTACACATGGGATTCCCGTAGCCAAAACATTCTTTCTTCTTCTCTTTGCCCATCTAAGTCTTCCCTATCCATCTCCTCCTTGACAACACATTCTACCACTCAAATTCACACTAAACTCTCTATTCCTGAAACTCACGTTCCATTCATTGGAAATACCAAGAATTTTCCAGCTGTTCTGTGTAATATACCATTGCCTCCTCCCAAAGTTCCTACACTTCCAAGAAGGGCAGGGACCATATCTTGTAGGTAACCTGTACCTTCTACATCAAAAAAGCAGTGTATACAAAGTAGACATTCAATAAATATTGGGCTGATAGATGAATTTTAATTTCATAAAGTTTTAAAATAATTTTAGTCACTGCAGCAAAATTGGGCAACTTTCATGATTTTTAAAGTAAACTCAATTATAGACAGCTCTAATTTTTTTTTTATCCAATTGCTTGGATAAAAAAGTGTCCTAATGAGTTTCCAGTAGAGTTAGATTTCTAAGGGTATATTCCTGAAGTAAGATATCTTCCAGATTATACAGAAACTACTTAAGTAAAATACAAATGCAGAATTGAGTTTACACATCCTGTGATAGTAGAAAGACCTAGAAAATTAGAATGATTGTAAAGTGCAGATACTGGGAAGTAGAGTGAAGGTGAACCAGGAGTCAGTGTCTCCTAGAACATTTTCTCACCTACCTGTGTAAATAAACCTTCCTGGGGCTCCTTTGCAGAACTGTTTGGATTTGTAAGATAATGTCACTTCTACTACTCCAGGGATGTGCCGAGGAGGAGTCTGCACTCGGATGGCATGAGGGGTTATTAGCTGAGGCGAGAATAGGAAGGGAAATAAGATGCCTGTTAGACAAGCCATCACCAGGGACTGTTGACAGCCTTACATATTGATTTAGCAGTCTTCAAGCCCAACTTAGCACTGTTACTGATCTTTTTGTAACATTTTTCATTTTTTCTGATTATGAATGTAAAATATACTCAATTTGGGAATTGCAGAAAAATATTAACATCACATAACTCAGATTCAACTAATATTAATATTTGGTGTGTTTCCAGTATTTTTCGATGAATGTGTTACATAATTAGCGTTTACAAGGCATAAACACTGCTGTCTTGAATTTTTTTTCTACTTAACATCATAGCATAGGCACATCACTTTTCCTGTATCATTAAAAATTTTTCAAAACATGATTTTCAATGGTAGAATTATACTTCATCATTCATTTTGCTAATCTCCTATATCCAATATCTAGACTACTTCTAATTTTTCAACATTTTAAATAATGCTACAGCTACAATGAATACTATGTTTTTAAAGGACTCTATCCCTGCAATTATCGTGACTTTTATGTCTTTTTATCCTTGGTGTGTTGCTCATAGAAGGTACTCACCAATGTGTGTTCATGCTATTCATACTGCAAGAATTACTAGTTTCTCAAGAGCAAAATAATCTTTGGGCCAAAAGGAAATCTGGAAGGCAACTTGTGTTTGCCTACCTCACTCCATACAAGCATGGTTCCAAACACTACTTGGAGGCCATCAAAAAAGTTGTCCCCGATAATGATGACCATGGCTCCTCCTGTGGTCCAGCCTTCACTTGGGCTAATGGCTTTGATGCAGGGGGTGGCTAAGGAGATAGGAGAGAAAAAGTCAGCTCTGCCCTTTGATGATGGAAATGTATAGTTTTGGGGATAGGCTGCCTTTGGTATTGGTTATTCTAAGAAATTCACTTTGAGTTTTGTTGACTTGTCATCCTTCCCTAATTGATTGTTGGTTTTTAACCAGAGCATTAAGGCATAATTAGTTGATCATAATGTACAAAAAAGTGAAACATTCGGCTAACTGTGCAAAGGGCATTTTTAAAACCCTGGGGTTTTTTTTGCCTGTATTTTTATAAGTTGATCTCAATAGAAATGTGTAAATCCCTTTTCTTCCCCCGCCTCCTCTGCCCCAAAATGTTAAGATTTACAAGGCTTGTTAATGTGCTAGAGAAAAAAAGAAAAAGCAACATGTACCATGGCTGAAAGTTTTTTCAGCACTACCCAGAGACAATTTCTAATCTCTCTCTCCTAACTGTGTAGGTAGGATTTTCCTCCCTTCTTCCATATGTTCAGGCCTCTGGACTTTACATCCCAACAGGAACCCAATATGGTTTTCAGGCCATAACTAAAGTCAATCCATCACTCCATTTCCAAAGTTGACAGGGTCAAAGGTGGAGGAGAACTTTGGCAGGACTCCAAAAACATGAGCCCCCTTTGAACAGCCAGTCAATCACATCCAATCAGTCAAAAGAAACTGGAGGGGTTCCTAGTTCTGAACTCTGAGATTTTCTTCTCCCCTTTCAGTGCCCACTGTGGGAGAATTAACACCACTCCAAATTCTTCACTGATTCAATCATTTTCTTTCAGTTCATTAATTCCTATTTTAAATGATATCAGATACATTTAAAGGGCCAAGTTGGGTTAGGGGTTGGTAGGGAGAATACAACAAAATATCATACTAAAATAGTAGCCTAATTTGGCCATTCATTTTATATTATAATGTCTTCCTACACCAGTGAGTCAGGTAGTGCAGAAGGAAGGGAAATAACTTAGATGGAATTTACTTAGATTTGTCAGTTATCTTCATCGATATACTTTAATTTTTTGGACAACTTGAAGTTTAACAGTTACTGGTATTTCTAATTACTTTAATGCACTTGGAAAACTACCCAGAACAGTCCATGATTTCTTCTTGTCCAAGCAAACAAAAATCAATTAGTGTCAGTTTCATTCTGCACATTGTTTTGTTTTGCCCACAATCTGTTTAAGGGCACATCTGACACTTATTCATACATGTCTGGCACTGTAATGTTCCTGTTTAACTGAGGTGTCATAGGCCTACATTTGCCTGAAATGCATATCCAGCAAAAAGAAAAACACAGAACTGGATGGAAGCGACTGGGAGTCTAAGGGACTTGAGTATTGGCTGGGAGCTGAGAGGGGCTTACAATAGAACAGGCTGGAGTCAATGTTTACAACTTAATTTAAAAACGCACATGGTTTTGTGTATTTCCTCCATTCTAACTCTGAGACATGAATTTGAAATTCAAATAAGGACATTTGCGGGTAACTTCATCTGTCCACCATTCTCAGCCCAACAGTCCTACCTTCCGATGGGTCAAGTCTTCTTGCTCTCCGTCCATGCTTGGAGTTGTTGTGAACAAACATGTTGTCAGAAACAGCCAGCACATGTCCATCCACATTGACTGTTGTTGACAACACAACCTACGTATTTAAAGTTGAAAAGAGAGGGAGTGATGGGGTTAATTTCATGTAAATAGTAAGGGCCCCACAATTCTGTTTTGATGCACTTCCGTATGGCAAATGGGAGACAAGACAGAACGTCAATGAAGAACAGGCCACCTTTCACCCACCTGCTGCCATGTATTTGTATTCAAACTGTGCCCATGTAGTGACATGGGGAAACTGGCCATCTGAGTGCTGCTTCCAGAAACCTAGTTCTCATTCAAAGAAATGGACCATCATTCTCATACAAGAGCCTCCAGCTGTGGCCACCACAAGAAGCTGAACATGTGTGTTCTGGAAGCTAAGCTGTAAAACACCCGCTGGGAGGTCACTGTTCCAAGCTTGGGGATGGCTTCTTGCACATCAGATAGGCCCAGTGGTCATGCCGGGCAGCCAGACTCTGGCTGCTGTGCTGCCTGTGATGTTCTCGCCCTCTTGAGGGCAAGGGCAGAGAAGCTCAGAATCTGGGTAAGAAGATGAGGTTGCTGGAATTCACTGTTCAAAGTACAGGACACTTAAACCAGAGGAAAGGGAAGAGATGGGTATGGAGTAGTGGAAAAATGTGAGTTTGGAGTCAGATAGAATTAATTCACGTCCCAGACTTGCTTCTTCCTGACATGTAGCCCTGGACAAATTACATAACCTTTTAGAATCTCAGTTTTCCTTATCTGTAAGACATAAACAAAACTGCCTCTCTCCCAGTGCTGAATGAGATTCAATGAGAATAAAATGAGATAATATCTAAAGCATTCAGCACAATGCTTGGTTTGTGCCAAATCTGGGTGAATTTGCATCCTAATTTGCTTCACCCCTGTCTGGTTTGATCAGTCAATCAGACAGATGACATGACTCACTGAGATCTTTCCATAGTCTGAGCTCTGGGGAAGGCTCTAGGAAGAGCTACTTCTCTGCTACTTCTCTGCTTAGTTGTGCATGCTAATTTTCTTGACAAAGGAACTCATTATAGACGTATTTCTGCATATATATAAACTTCTTGAGGAAGGGCATCAGATAAGTACTTAATGAAGAGTTGTATTTAAAAGAACTACTTTTGGGGCCAGTGCTGTGCAGCAGTGGGTTAACACCCTGGCCTGAAGTGCCAGCATCTCATGTGGACATCGGTTCTAGTCCCGGCTGCTCCTCTTCCAATCCAGCTCTCAGCTGTATCCTGGGAAAGCAGTGGAAGATGGCCCAAGTCCTTGGACTCCTGCACCCATGTGGGAGATGCGGAAGAAACTCCTGGCTCCTGGCTTTGGATCGGTGTAGCTCCGGCTGTTGCTGCCAGCTGGGGAGTGAACCATTGGATGGAAGACCTCTCTCTCTCTCTCTGCCTCTCTTCTCTCTGTGTAACTCTGACTTTCAAATAAATAATTAAAATCTTTTAAAAAATAAATAAAAAAATAAAAGAGCTAGTTTTGCCTACTCCAAATAAAGTTTGATGGCATTCTAAATGTTCTGTCACTCCTTCCTTACTCATTAAATGAAGAGGGGGATAGGAGGATGCCAGCCGTGCCTTGTCTTCTCATATTAAATAATTAGATGGCACTTCAAAAATTTTTCCTTATGAATAATTTCAACAAACAAAACAGCACAATAGACCCCAGCACCTATCACCCAGGTTAAGGACTGTCAAAATATTACTGTTCTTATCTACACCACCACCCACTCCATTCCCCTAGTCTGTGATGGTGATGATCACACATTGGGTGTTTTGCATTAAGTAAAATTGACAAATACTGAAATGCAGAAATTTCAGCTGCACAATGTACATCATAATCACAATACAGAATATCCCTATCTCCTCTGAAAGTTATCTCATATCCCTTCCCAGTGAATACTATTCCCCCTGCCACAAAAGCAACATTCTTCTCATCTTTTTTGGTCCTAAGCAGCATTTTAGATGGTATTTAAAAAAATCTTTATATATTTAGAATGGAATTGGTTTGGAAGAATCCATGAAACCCACAGACCCACAAATCATTTCATATATATCCTCACACCATAGGCATGGTGACAGCATATGTGAACTTTTACATGGACATAAAGTTTTAATCATTCAACCCAACAGATATTCATTGAGTTCTTGCTACATGTCAGATATTATGACAGGCTCTGGGGAGTCAATGAATAAACTTAAAGGAACCTCCACGGTCATTCAGAAAATTATCATCAGCATAATTGCTCACAATTCAGGGATGCAGCCTGTCTGGCTCTGGGTCTGTTTTCAATTGCGTCCATGTTAATATGTTAGAGTCCAAGAAAAGTCCTTCAGGGGAGTTCCTACCAAGTGGTGGCAACCATAAGACAGCAACAGCCACCACGCTCTGCGAGGGCAATGGGGCACAAGTTCTTCACAGAGTGGTCTTGAAAAGCCCAAGAGCACACGACAGTCACAGGGAGAGGCTGGACCTCACGGTCACAGGCTTAACAAGGTGAAGGTTGAAAGCAATCCCCTGCAGTCATGTGCACCCTCTGAAAATCATAGGAGAAAGGTGAGACACAAGAGCAGTCAAAGCACTCTGACAAACTGTGTGTGCGAATGAATTCTCAAAGACACGACTGTCATCTCTGGAAAAGAGCAAAACAAAACAAAAGCGCAACGAAGTTGTCTCAGGGTTTAATTCTTAGTGAATGGGACTCGGCACAGTGAGGAGAACCCCTGCGCTGACTTGCGGATTATGTGGATGTAAAGAGCATTCTCTCTGCGACCACTTTAATTCGTTCCACAAGCTTCTTGTCGTGCTGTCCGTTAACGCTCCTCATGCATTTCTGCCACAAAATATGGGGCTTTCCTTGAGCCAGCTGATTTCATCATTGTTCATTTGGGTGGAGTGAGACTTAGTTCCAAAGTGAACATTTCCCGAATGACATACCCTGATGGTTCAGATGCACTTCATTATTTTCTATTAACAATGGAAATAAATTTTAATCTCTTGCTGGCTAGTGCTGGCCTCTCATGACAGCAAGGGAATTAACCTGAATTATTTCAGTGTCTGCAAAATTTATTACAAGATTTTAAATTATGTCCAAATGTATGTGCGTGTGCCTGGATATATAGATAGAGAGACAGATACAGATATGAGGCAAGTTCTAGTTTTTCAGATTCCAAATATCTTAAGACTGCTACATACCTAGAAGAGCCTGCCAATTAAATTGAATTTGGAAAACATAATGAATTTAATTCACAAAGTCCACTACGCTATCAGACATGTTGGGCGGTTGTGACTATACATGAAGACGCACACTTAAGTACTGACTTTTCCCTACATTCACACTGCTTCCAGAAGAATGGACCACATTCTGGAGGTGAGGATGCATTTGGTATAGTCAGAGCTTCAAATTTAACTCCCCTCACTGTTTTCTGATGAACGATGACAACACTGATATTATTCTATTCAGAGAAGTTAAAATTTCGGAATGCTTTAAGACTAAAGGAAGTGGAATGTGCATTCCAACATCATCTCACTCCCAGGCCTTCCCCTTCCACAAGCCAACTTCTTTCCCCTAGTGAGTATTTCCTGGGTCACAAAGACTGACCCTTTCCATCTGGAATCAATCAGTCAACCCCTGACAACTTCCTGAAACACCTCACTCCATTTCCTGTTCTCTCCCCCTTCTCGCTTTCCCCCTGGTTTGCCTCACTCTTCAAAACTGCAGGCCACAGCAGCTTAATGTTAGAGGGTCAGGCACAGTTAGACTCCAAAACACTACACAAGGACACCTTTGACCTTCAAAAATCTTTACATCTTAGCTAAACAAATCAAGGTCAACATTTCTTACCATTACCTTGTTAACTATTTGTATGCATCTTTGCCAACTGTCTTCTGATCATGTAACCATCAGTACTACTTGTTCTCCAAAGATCATAAACTGATCTGCTTTAAAAGTAGTTAATTTAGCATGGATAGAAGTTGCCATTTAGAGGTACCTAAAACTAAAAATCACCAGGATCATAACAAATTACAGAAGGTAGTCCACACAAAAGAAGTTCCACGCCTCATCAATGTCTCCTGTCACCTAAACCTGATACCTCCTCTTTTCTAAGGCTGTCAGACTCTCTTGGCACTGCCATTCTGCTGGCACAGCCCTAAAGAATGCCAATTAGGAATACAGATGTCCATAATTTGTGTGGGATAGACCCTGGTTTTTGCTGCTGACATTAGTGACAACTTTCATTTATTTCTTCTAGTTGATATAACTGTATTTCAGCTCAAAGCCCCAGCAGTAAAGTCAGCAGACCTGTATACGAAGACATTGTATGGAGTAGCCCTCCTCAACGGACACATTTCAACACAAAAGCAACAACCAATTTATTTATGACCAGGTACCTTGAAGCCAAGTTTGCAAGAAAGAGAAGTGTGGGATCAACTGAGCCTGCGTGCATTTTTTTTAAAAGTGAAAGTGGTTTTTGCTTGCTGCCATCCCTTACTTTGTTTTGATCTGATCATGAATCTTTGGTGAGGCCAGCTCCGTGAGCCTAGAAGTGATGAGTGACAGTGGCAGGTTTCATTTTTAATTATACAGAAGGGTAAGTTGGGTATTCAAAAATAGGAACATGAATAAAATGTTTTTATCTCCCCTTGAAAAGTATGAGAAAGTTTTAAGAATAAAATTTACAAATGTGTTAGCAGTCTGCTAAAAGGACTCGAGGAAACTGGTTTTCTCAAATTCTATTTTTCTTTTCATTACCCAAAAGTTCTCCCACATCCCTCACTCTAATAATTTATACAAAGCAGCAGCTGAGTTGTAAAGAGCTCTTTCCTTCTCATAAAGGGCCACTGTGGGAGTTACCTTTTAGGTGGACACGTCCGTTAATCTGCCCGTTCAGCTAATTTTCCAGCAAAGGAGCTGGTTCTTTGGTATCAGCGTGATAGCTGTGGCATGAAGGCAGTTACCAAACTTCTGCCTCCTTCTGAAATATTCTTGGATTTTTGGAACTCCACACTTGTGTGTGTGTGTGTGTGTGTGTAACGTTTAGG